CACCCGCGCCAGCCCCGCCGTTCCCGCCACTGCGGTGCCGGCGCCTCCTCCTGCGCGCTCAGGCGTCCCCGGGAGGGAGCGCTGGGCGGGCTCGCAGGAGCCCGTGAGGAGAGGGGGTCCCTGGGAAGACGCTGGGAGGGGAGGGTCCCACGAGGGGGGAGAGAGCAGGGGAGATGGGGAGAGCCCCGGGGGGTCCCAGGACGCCACGTCGCCTGCCCAGCCCTCCCAGGGGACAAGCCCGCAGCTCACCTTCCAGCTTCCGGTGCTGGCGCGCGGCCACCAGGACTGTCCTGGGTGTGGGACGGCCCTGTCCCTATTTGCCCTCGGATTCCCTCCCAGAACCTGAGTCTCACCACCGCAGATGCCCATGAGGGGCAGGGGGCTTCTAGACAGCTGGCCGTGGGGCCACCAGCCACCCAAGGGTGGAGGCAGGGCTGAAGCGCCCCCCTGCCTCTTCTGATCGGTTGGCCCACGTGGCGCCCCACCAGCCCAGCAGGCCCCAGGCCGCCTCCACCCCCAGGGCCCCAGAGCCTCATGTGACGGGTCAAAGGCCAGCGGGGTAGCTCCCCTGCGACCTGGATGCTGAGGTCAGCTCGCCTGTCTGCTTAGTCAAGCCTCGCCCACGCGGCCCCCACCCCACTGGGGTCCCAGTCAAACCCACCCCTCCTGAAACAATATCTCAAACAGTTGGCCATGGCTGCAGTTTTGTGACATGTCTTGGGGCTTCCTGGGAACTGCATTTGTTCGGCCAAGGGTGACTGGTCAGGTCCACAGGAGACTAGGATTCGCGGGCACTGTGGCAGGGGCAGAGGCCATGCCCTGCCTCTCCCCACGCCTTTGGTCGGGTGCATTGCTGTGAACCAGGGGGGAGTTTATTTCAGGGTGTCCTGTCTCTACTCAGTCAGTGGAATCGGCACATCAAATCCTGTGAGTTGGTCTTGTTGAAACCTGAGTGTCACGGCAGGGTTTGTGCCGTAGCACAGGACTAGACGGGGCTGCAGAGCCTCCCACAGGACACCCCAGTTCACCAGAGGGCCCCCCAGACTGTCTGATCTAAGTGGGTCAGGGCTGAACCTGGACTGACCCGCTGTCTCTGCCAGTGATGTTTCTCTTCACACTGAATAGTCTCATGTTTCCTGGGTCCTTTGTGATCTGACGTCACTCTTGTGGCCACGTCTCTCCTGCCGCTTCCGTCCACGGTGGCGTTGGGTGGGCTCAGCCTGACCTGGGACCCCCAGAAGCCACTGTGGGGATGGGAGATGACCACTCCAAGCCCGCCTCGGGGGTCTGTCATGAGCAGGACACAACCTGCCCGAGATGGGGGGTGTCTCTGAGTAAGAGCAGGGCTAGCCACCAGCTTAGGAGGGTGGGAGCCATGATTCATGCAGAGCTCAGAGTCCTGAACCGGAGAGGGCCGCTTATGACAGACGGGCGTGACGGTGAGACAGGGAAGAGGCTCCCATCCCGGGATGATGAGAGGCGTGGCACCGGGGGCGTCTGGCTCCTCTCCAGCCCCTTGCAAGAGAAGCAGTGGCCCCAGCGGGCACTGAGGGGAATGGTGCCTCACTGCGCGGTACCTGGGGAATCCCTGAGACGAATGTCCTGCCCCATCTCACGTGTCCCTTTAAGCACTCCTAGCCTAAAGCCACAGCCCCGGTGAACAGGCACAGTGGCAGCACTTGTCACACAGACGTCTCTGAGTACTAACCAGGCAACCAGGCCAGCATGACAGTGAGGCCACAACTCATCCACGAAACCCACACATCCTTGGCACCATGGCCTTTCTTCGTGGAGAGAACACCCCAGTCCCGGCCCTTTCACAGGAAAGAGGGAGCAAGGCCTTTGTGGACTTTTAACGCAGGCGCCGCAAATGCCAGCTGACCATTGGTATCAACCGTCCCCCGATGACACAACGAGTCCGTGGAAACTAAGGGAGAGATTTTTGGGGAGAGCAGCCCTACGGGCCATGGATGGGGGTGACTTCTGTCAGGGACACCTTAAGCTCCTAGCTCTCTGCCCTGGGCCTCTCAGCCTTGAAGCAAGGTTGGCCCATGTCGGTCCCCGCGGTGGAGTCCAGAGCTTGAGGCACCACACGGCCCCGCTGTGGGCACTGGGTAGCTAGGCGGAGTCAGCAGGTCCCACGAGGGTCTGCAGGGGGCTTCACAGGCCGCCCGGGGCTCACCCTGCCTCCTGGCTGACGCGCACTGACCCGGGGCACTTCCCGCATGCCATGTCTTCACGATGTGTTGAATGGTCAGGCAGGTTACTCAGATGAGCCAGCAGCTCTGGGTTAGAGGACGCATAAGAACACGTTGCAATGGGTTGGGAACTGTACGTCTAATCCGGGTCCTGTCTTGGCCTGCTCTGGCGGTTGTGCGAGGTCGGTGTGTGCCCGGGGAGAGACTTTAGGGTGCCTTAAATCTCCTCCCCAGGCTGGGGGCGTTTCCCGGTTCCGTCCCCACCGGTGACGCCCTGTCCTATGCATGTGTCTTTCCAGTGCCAGCCACCGGGGGCAAGATGGACTGGGGCACCCTGCAGACCATCCTGGGCGGCGTCAACAAGCACTCCACCAGCATCGGCAAGATCTGGCTGACCGTGCTGTTCATCTTCCGCATCATGATCCTCGTGGTGGCCGCCAAGGAGGTGTGGGGGGACGAGCAGGCTGACTTCGTGTGCAACACGCTGCAGCCCGGCTGCAAGAACGTCTGCTATGACCACCACTTCCCCATCTCGCACATCCGGCTGTGGGCGCTGCAACTGATCTTCGTGTCCACGCCGGCGCTGCTGGTGGCCATGCACGTGGCCTACCACCGGCACGAGAAGAAGCGGAAGTTCATCAAGGGGGAGATGAAGAATGAGTTCAAAGACCTGGAGGAGATCCGGACGCAGAAGGTGCGCATCGAGGGCTCGCTCTGGTGGACTTACACCAGCAGCATCTTCTTCCGAGTCATCTTCGAGGCCGCGTTCATGTATGTGTTCTACGTCATGTATGATGGCTTCTCCATGCAGCGGCTGGTGAAGTGCGGCGCCTGGCCCTGCCCCAACACGGTGGACTGCTTCGTGTCGCGGCCCACGGAGAAGACGGTCTTCACCGTGTTCATGATCGCCGTGTCGGGGATCTGCATCCTGCTGAACATCACCGAGCTGTGCTACCTGCTGATCAGATATTGTTCTGCAAAGTCAAAGAAGCCTGTCTAACGTCCCCCCTCCCCCGGCTGATCGATTGAGTTGCTAGCAGGCCAAGGAGGGAGAGGCCGCTCGGCCCTCCCGAGAGGGAGACTCCATCTAAGACAAAGCCCTCTGAAACCCCCGCGGGCCTCTCACAAAACCCCAGAGGCTTCAGCAGAGGGTGGGTCTCCCAATGCCTCCAGACAAAGGCCTGATTCTCCCCGCTCTCATCTTTACTCCAATTAGCTCCAAAGAGACCTCGCCGGTCGGGTTGTGGGTGTCAGGTACTTGCATGTTTTAAACTGAGGACGCCGGCGTGTTTCTCCTTCTCTGAGGACTGGAGCAGAAGCCCTGGGTCTAAAGAGGACACTGAGAAGGCGTGGGGGTCCATCCCGGGGTTCCCTTTGCTGATTCTCCCCGAATTAAAGGTGAACATTCTTGGTGGCTGTATTTGCTTGGGAAGTTTTAACCTCTAATGATGGACAGAGTTACCCAGTGCCTTAAACCCTGTTGCACTTTTTTTAAGTGACAACTTTGAAGTAAGATAGGTTCTCTTGTCTAAAGATGTTCCGGATACCCGTCTCTGCACCTCCGGTTTCAAGGGCTCAGCGTGTGATACACAAACGGTATGTAATCGGACCCTGATCTAATCCAAGATGTGGCCTTTCAGTTATGAATGGTTGGCAGTGCAGCCGGGAGACTCTGGGTCACCAGCTGCGGTGTGTAGCGCGTAGCCGCGTTGCCACACCTCTCGGGTAAGGACTGGCTGATGGCTTGTGACCGCCGATGGCCTTGTGTCAAAAGTTCAGGTCTGACCTTGCGCAAGAAACACAGGCTGGATGTACCCTCAGCTACCACCGGCAATGATAGGTCTGCCCAGCTTGTGTAGACAGTAGCTATATCGTGGAGGCTACATGGGGGGTTTTCCTGGCACAGAACAATTTACTGAGCGGACAGAAGCGGTGGGGGGTGAGTCTGTGAAAGACAGGAATCCTGGGCTATGCTCTGTGGGCTGACACGAGCTCCATCCACATCAGAAGCTCGTCCGCCTCCGTCCCCGGCATCTGAGCTTTGAAGTAGCAACAGGACTCAGAGACGTTCAAAGGGAATAGTGGCTGGGGTTTAGATCAATATTTAGCATTTCCGTAGGACACACTGAACCTGGTTATTACGATGTGGTTTCCAAAAGCTGGAACTCAGTGCCCTGCAGTGAGGGGCGTACTTTCCCATTGCCAAGACTAGCACTGTAAAATCGTCTTGTGATAATCATAGCTTTAATGACATGCCTGTAACCAAAATAATGTTGTAATATCTCAGATATCAATGAAAATATTAAAATATAAATTCGTACCATTTAAAAGCTAAGTGGTTTTTAGTAGAATAGCAAATTCTAAGTTCACTGACAGCTCTCTTTGTGTAACTACATGGATATTTTCTATTTCGTAACCACGGTGAGTAAATCAGCAGGTGTCCAGACACCCTTCCGGATTCTTCTGTCCCAGTTACCAAAAGGCCTCTTGCCAGAAAGGCTGTTGGAGAAGGGAGGCAGGATGGCGATTCCTGTTCAACCCCATCCCGCCTCTCCCAGGGTTTTGAGGAACACCAACCTAGGGATGGTGTGGCAGGGGCTGGAAGCGTGGTTGGGGGACACTGACTTGGGCTGACATGACCAGTTTGGCTTCTGGGGGGATCAGAGACTGACACTTCACAATACAAGAGAAAACACCTGTGTCTACTTGTGTGTCATCAAAGCTGGTCGTGGGAAACAGCTTTTCATGCCACGTGCCCACTTCCAAAAGAAATAAGTCCACCAGGTCGGCCTGTCCCCAAAAGTGACAGCCAGCCGTGCCACGGGCCAAGGCTCCCCTGAGATGGTCCCTCCAGTGCACAAGCTCTCCATCCAGGCTTCACCACAGTTCACACCTCAGTGGCTGTGAATATTTGTATGGAGGACCAAACACTTTTAAAAATGGATTTAAGAGGACAAAAGCCAGCCTACTTTCAGGTCATGGAAAAGGGACAAGAGTTCCTGCCTGGCCTCCAGGGTGCTGTCACGAAGCAGCCTATTAAGCAGGTGCCTTCACTCCTACGAGCTGTGAAAATTATTATTATTACTCTCAAGGTAATAAAAGACCGGCCCAAATAATTACAGGTGACTCTCGACCACTTTTAAGAGCTGCTGGAGAGGTCTGGCCACACGCCTGGAAACGAGAGCTCAAGCCCCAGGAACAGCCATCCTGAAGAGGCATCTCAGAGCACCCGTCTGCGATCTGCACCCGGCATGGGAAAGCCCACGGAGGAGGCCTCGTGCTCTGGGCCCCAGTGTCCCAGTTCTGGGTGCTCATGAGCCGTGGGCATGGTTGCTGCCAACTCCAGGGTCCCAGGTGGGTGAGGGGGCCAGACTCCCTGGGGGGCCAGTGGTGACCTCGGGAGCGGGACCTGGCCAGTGCCGGGAGGCCCGGCTGGGCAGACCTCAGCGTCCTCATCCCAAAGTGGCTTCCCAATGTCTCCCAAGCTCGGTAGCAGTCAGATAAGAGGATTTACACAAAGTCATCACCTGTTCTCCATACAACAGGTCCCAGCTGGGAGACAGGGGTGAGATTTTTAGACACAGATGACTCCAACAACGCTGGAGAAACTGGAAGCTGGAAAAAATGCACATTCACACGAGGCCTGAAATAGGCACAGAACAGGGCAGGTGTGGCCAGCGGTGGGAATTGGAGAGGAGTGACTGATGACAAGGACAACAACAGAAAAAGAGAAAGCCGGTCGGGTGTGGAGGCCATGCCTGTCATCTGTCCACTGTGGGAGGCTGACTCCGTAGGATTGCTTGAGCCCAAGAGTTCAAGACCAGCCTGGGCGACATAGTGAGACCACATATCTACAAAAATACAATAAAACAACTTAGATAAATGTAATAAAACACTGAGCGCGGTGGCTCACACCTGGAGTCTCAGTTACTTGAGAGTCTGAGGCTGGAGGATCACCTGAACCCAGAAGGCCGAGGCTGCTGTGAGCTATGATTATGCCACTGCCCTCCAGCCTGAGCAACAGAGTGAAACCCCAACTCAAAAAAAAAAAAAAATGAAGGTCTCACTTCGCTCCTGGGCCGAGAGGTGTCAGTGCTCACATCCCCATGCCGTGGCGTACACTTATAGACACACACATGCATGGACACACAGGCCACCCTGGTTGGTGTCCCTTGCGCCATCTCTCTATGGTGGTTCCCATGAAGTAACACGCCTTGGAAGCCTTTCTGGATCAGTCTGTAGAGACGCTTGTGCTCATCCTGCTGCATGATATCCACAGAAGCTGTGGGTGGGTGGCTGGACACCCTCCTTGTCAAGAGACGGCCACACTGCTTCCAACTTCCCATAAAGACAGCCTCTCCACCCACTATTTTTCTAACCTAAATTCAGGCTTCACTATTCCCTGTGAAATTTTACCTTACTGGTTTGGACTCATCCTTCCGGTCAATCCAGATCCCTCTGAATGCTGTCTTCAGTTTACTGGCGGTTCCTTCCAACTTTGTGTCGCCCGTCAGCTTAACGAGCGTGCTCTCTCTTCGGTCACTTCAGCCAATAAAAACAGTGAGTGAGGAAAGCTGTCAGGTTCCTTCCAGCTGCACCAGCCCACGCACGGCAGGACCTGTGTGGGGTCCAGACACGTGCTCAGCCCCACCGGATCCCAGGGTTGCATCTTGAGAGTAAGACTATCATGGCGGAAGCAGCCAGAGTCGTCCCCCACGTCTGAGGTCATACGTGTAGAATGCTCTCTGGGCCCCTGGGGGATGCAAGGCTGATTCAGGAAGGAGGCCATGGTGCAGGCGGCAGGTGGTCAGGCAGGCCAGTGTGGCAGGCATGGTCAGGTCCTCAGAGCTCAGGGCACATCCTGGGAGTCTTGGGCCCCCTTCATGAAGCTCATTCCTGAAAGATGTCAGACTTTTGCCCGGAAGATGCCAGAGGCGAGTGGCTAGTTGGGCCTTTTTGGATTCTTTGAGAAGCCAAATAACTCATCAAAGATTTTTTTTTGGCCCTGGAAGGTGTCACTGACTGAAGGGTTTCTGGGAGATGAGAACCCTCTGGGATGCACATGGCCTCTCCACTGCCATCTGCTGGCTTCTAGGAGCACCTGCAGGGCACTGGTCCCTCCCAAGTCCTGGGATTCACTCAGCCAGGGGGCGCCAGTCAAGGGCCACCAGCTGGTGGGGGGGGACATCAGCCAGAGGACACCAGCTGGGGGGGACCAGGCAGGAGAACACTAGCCAGAGACACCGGCCAGGGGGATCAGCAAGGGGGCACTAGCCAGGGAGGAACCAGCCAGGGGGGCACCAGCCAGGAGACACTGGCCTGGGGGGCACCGACCAGGGGACTATGGACCAAGGGGGGCACCAGCCAGGGAGGTACCAGCCAAGGGCACTGACCAGGGAAGCACCGGCCAGGAGACACCGGCAAGGGAGGCGCCGGCCAGGGAGGCACCAGCTAGGAGGACACCGGCCAGGGGGCACTGGCTGGGGGGTACCGGCCAGGAGGTACCGGCCAGGGGAGCACCACTAGGGGTCACTGACTGGGGGGCACCAGCCAGGGGGAACTGGACTCCAGCCAGCATCTAAGAATACCCCCCCAGACAGCCACATGCTCCCCACCATGAAAACCTCCCTTTCCCCCTTACTCTGAGGTTTGAATCCCCAATCTGTAGGTCTCTTGCTGTTGTCTTGTCCAGGCAACCGTAAAAAATGAGACACAGGTGCACACCAGTGTGCACCATCTCCATCACAGACAGCAAAATGTGCACACAGCACAGCACAGTGAGCGTCTGTGTCGGGGCTGCTGCGGCGGCTTCTCACAACTCCTCGGTCAGGCTTTTTCCTCGGGTTTCTCTCATTGTTCTGTTACCTGGATTCTGAGATCTTATCATGTAGAACCATGAATGCCACAAGGCCAGATTACGTCATCCATGAGAGAAAAATCCCTCATGTTAAGGTCTGTTCCACTAGCCAAATGAAGAGGGCAGCCCTCCGGGTGTCCAGT